TGCCCTGCCTCGTGAGTCCCTCTGTCCCCTCCCCCCCATTCACACCGACACCCCCCCTCCCCCGGCAGCCCGAACCCCGTGTCTGGTCCGGGGCAGTGACCAGGCCCCGCACTCACCCCCGGTCTGGTTGTAGCGCTCACGCAGGGTGTTCAGGTTCTCTCGGAACATGGCCTGCGAGCCCTGTGATCTCCGCGTCTCCTCCTCCCAGTACTCCGGCCCCTCGCTCCGCGCCATCCACTCCGCGCCGGGCTCCGCGCTCCCCCGATCGCTGTCGTAGCGGTAGATGAGCTGATCGTCCACGTACCCGGCCTCTTTGAACGGGGGCAGCCCCGGGCCGGGCTCCGACACCCCCGTGGAGAAATAGCGCAGCGAGTGCGGGTCTGCGGGGAGACGGGGGGGTCAGAGCCGCAGGTGTAGTGTATTAAATTGCTCCGCGTAGGAATGTTCTACTTGGGGTGCACTGAGCTTGCTCAGTACATCTGCTGAAGCCACGGCCCTTCCCCCTGCCCTTATTTGCCCTAGGATTCTGCTGACTGCTTTTGACAGGGGCTAAAAAGGGGCAAAGGGGGCGAATCGGAGCAGGGGGGTGGCCCGGGTCTGAGCGGGGGGCGGAAATGGACTGGTCGGGGGGGGGGTGTGTCAAGCAGCTGGAGGCAGGGGTGGGAGGGGGCTAAAGGGCAAAATCAGGGATGAGGGAGGGGGAGGAGGTGGAGTTAAGTCCAGGAGTGAGGTGATGCCAGAGGGCAAAACCCAGCACAGGGGGTAACAGTTACCCCAGTGGCACTGAGACACCAGTGTTTGCAAAAATGGTGCGGGGCTAAGGGACTTTTTTATTTCCCCTCTCACAGCCTGCACTTCTCAGCGTGGACTTCCCAGGGCCAGGTTCTTAAAGGCACCCCGATGCCTAGTCACTGCCGCTCCTCTCCGTCTATCTGAATGCATAGAGTCTCCGAGCGGTTTCCCAAGTTGGCTTATCTGCTGCTGGGATTCCCTGAATTCTTAATTCTAATTTTTTCTTCTTATTTTTAAAGCAGATGTTTATTCTGTTGGATCACCTGACTTCCACTCTGACTGAATTTCTGGCCTAGTATCAAAACTTTGCTTTGAGTCAATCCACCAATGGGAATTGCATTTTTGCAACTGTTATTTTGCCCCTCAATCCAGCCCTTAGTGTTTTTCTGCATGCCATTGCTTGTGTGTACAACTTGATTCTCAAATATTCAATAAAGGCTGTATACTATCTCCTATAACCTCTTTCTCAAAGGCAAAAATCTATTGTAATTTTTGCTGAACATTAGAACTGCCGTAGTGGGTTAGACAAATAGTCCGTCTAGCCCAGTATCCTGTCTTCTGACAGTGGACAGCGCCAGGTGCTTCTAAGGGAATGAAGAGAACAGGCAATCCCTGAGTGAACCATCCCATTGTCCACTCCCAGCATCTGGCAGTCAGAGGACGGTTTGGGGACACGCAGAGCATGGAGCTGCACCCCTGATTATCTTAAGAACGGCCCTACCTGGTCAGACCAAGTGTCCATCCAGCCCAGTGTCCTGTCTTCCGACAGTGGCCAGTGCCAGGTGCCCCAGAGGGAATGAACAGACCAGGGAATCATCAAGTGATCCAGCCCCTGTCGCCCATTCCCAGCTTCTGACAGACAGAGGCCAGGGACACCATCCCCACACATCCTGGCTAATAGCCATTGATGGACCTATCCTCCATGAACTTATCTGGTTCTTTTATGAACCCGGTTATAGTCTTGGCTGGCAAGGAGTTCTACAGGTTGGCTGTGTGTTGTGTGAAGAAACACTTCCTTTTATTTGTTTTAAACCTGCTGCCTATTCATTTCATTTGGTGACCCTTAGTTCCTGTGTTGTGAGAAGTAGTAAACAACACTTTCTTTTCTAACTTTCTCTACACCGGTCATGATTTTATAGACCTCTACCATATCTCCCCTTAGCCGTCTCTTTTCCAAGCTGAGAAGTCCCAGTCTTTTCAATCTCTCCTCATACGGAAGCCATTCCATACCCGTAATAATTTTTGTTGCCCTTTTCTGAACCCTTTCCAATTCCAATATATCTTTTTTGAGATGGGGTGACCAGATCTGCACATAGTATTCAAGATGTGGGCGTACCATGGATTTATATAGAGGCAACATGATATTTTCTGTCCTGTTATCTATCCCTTTCTTAATTATTCCCACCATTCTGTTCGGTTTTTTGTCTGCCGCTGCACATTGAGTGGATGTTTTCAGAGAA